CTGTCGATCGCGTAGATTTTTTCTCCAAGCACGTTGGATTTTGCAAGCAGCAATGTGTTGTCGCTTGAATCGAACAATACGTCGTCGGATAATGAATCCACGAGCGAGACGCTGGATAATCTGATCGCTGGTATTTTCTAGATGAGCTTGAGCACCACCTCTACGATTCATAAGCGTGGAAGAGCAGTGGCAAAAGCTGTACTGGTCTTGACGGCGGTTTCTGGAGCGTAGAACTCGTTGTCGCATTCGAAATTTCCTTTGAACTCGTCGGATCCATCGCTGTATCTTCCTCGCAGATGCATCACGCACCATTTTCTCGCGTTTTATCCAAATCTACGCAGGGAAATCTGTAAGAAAATCTGAAAATATGAAGGAAAAATCTGAAGCTTTACCTTCATGTATTTGCGCATCGTAGTCACTTGGTCGGTGAGTTTCTTCACAAGTGCCTCACACTCGCTACTATCGGAGTTCTTGATCGGCTCAATTGACGCTGAAAATGTAGAATCCAAAGGTTTCAAGACGCTCAGGGTGGAGACGTCGAGAGCTGGCATCATTTGAGCAGGGACAGCCAAGTCTTCTGTAGTGAGAGCAGGCTTTCGAAAGTCTTCGAGTGGGGTAGAGACTACTGGATGCTCTGCCCATTGGATCGATTCCTCTCTTTTGACTTCGCTATTAGCTGGAGTGCAGCCACTGCTCTGAGCCTTGCGGCCTTCTTGAACGCGTTTCCAGATTTCTAGTTTGCTGTCGTGAGAGAGTGGATTATCCGGAGCATTTTGGTCTAGCGGTCGTTCTACAGGAGATGGAGGTGGTAGAATCCCTCCAACTTGTGCAAGATTCCCTTGAGACGTCGAAAATCCGGTAATGAGAAATTCTTCTAGAATATTTTCATTGCCGTCGAGTACGGAGTGCTTCAGAGTATTGAGGGCATGAGGAGAGATTGTGAAGTCTGCATGCTTTCGTCCAGATACAGTAAGACCACCGTCATTGCTAAGTGGTAGACATGGGAAGAGTGCCGCTATTAAACGCTCCAACTGACCACCACGACGTGAAATTTCAAGCACAATCGGATTCCCGTCAAAAGCGAGAAATTCCAACACTGGTAGCTGAAATCCAAGACTAGCAACTCCACAAATCTATACAATAGTTATTTTTTCCAGTGCAAGACGATAGTAAAAAAAATTTTTTTTTCAAAGACTCACCTTATCTACCTGGTTTCTGGCAATTGAGAGGCGACGCAATCGGGACGGGAAGAGCGTCGCTGACGCAGACGAAGAGAAGGCACCCAGCATATTATCCGACAAGTCCAGCGTCTAAAATCCGTTTCACAAGATTTGATCAGTAAACTATCTGTTTAGCGATAGAAAAATCTATCACCTCCAACAGGCTCAGTCCAGCAAGAGGCGGCCATTTAATGATGCGGTTGTAGGACGCATCCACCACTCGCAGCTCTGGGAGCAACTGAAGAGAATCCACGGCTGTGAGACTGTTCTCGCCGATTTTCAGTATCTGTAAAGCTGGTAGCAAGGCGAGCAGGTCGATCGAGGCGATACAGTTTCGAGATAAATCCAAACTCTGCAGACGTCGTAATGCCTGGATGCCGTTGACATTTTCCAGTTGATTTCCCGATAAATCCAACTACGAAGTTTGGATAAAATATCATGAGCCGACTCGATAGAATAGATGTTACCTCGAGTTCTGACCTGGTTGACGTTTTCGAAGACTCCGATGTGATCGATACTACGCAAACGATTCAACGACAGATCCAGCGCATACTCAGCGCCGTCCCCTTTTTCGATCTGACACCGAATATCGTCCGGAATCTGTTCCAGCTGCACGATCCGCTGCTCGGACAGGTCGAAGCTGTCCATGCCTAGAGTGACGCTTAAGGTCGGCGGTTCCTAACGACTATTT